CCATCAGTCTCTATTGCCACCCATCAACGAGGAAGGTTAATTTAAGACATGGTCATCATAAATGACACATGTATAGGGTTGTTGTTAGATACCAAACATATGAGCTTGATATCTGAAAATGTTTGTTATAATTTTTTTTTTTAACAATTTGAAGCAAATGGGGTCTAAAAGCAACTAAAAGAGAGAATACACCATTTTGTTATGTTAAAACACATATACTAGTAAAATAGTTATAGCTATAGTATTTTCACATCTGTCTAAAACATGTCAAGTAACAAACTACACCCAAAACAAACAAAAGAACATTCAATGGAGGACTGTGGAGCTTACATTTGGGTGACAATAGCTTGTCTAGTGGCTCTTCAAATGACCGTAACTGACCATCAGAAATGGTCCTCTATTTGCTTTAATGCGAGTCAAAATTTGAATTTGATCGAAATCAAACTTTGGAAATTTGGGTTAAATTCAGATTCAATCATAATCTGAGTCCTAACCCTATCATTGTGAATCCATCTACCCAATGATGGAGAGACTCAGTATACCAATGGCAATAAAGTATTAATAATGCTTGTGTAGCACTGCCCCTTGGGACAAGCTGGAATATATTATGGGTCCTGCGCTCAATAGATCCAACCCTAAGCAAACCCAATCCCTCTGGCACAACTGGTAATGAATAGCAAATACCCCACCAAGAAATTTGCTGACACAGGGTTAAATGAAACGAGAACAATTTTATGGAGAATGAAATGCAGTGTAGAGGGGTGGGGTTCCCCTTTCAACTTCAAAACTTACTTTTCTTCTTTTATGCAATGCAGTAAATTTGGTCTGCCACTAGAGGGCTTCACAGCCAAGAGTCTCCGGATGGCAGAGCCGCACTTTAAGCAGAATACAACTGATATCAAACAAATAAACTTACTTATGCTCTATCAATGAAATGTATTACCCACACCGGTGTATGATTCTGCTTCTGAGGGGCGTTAGCCAAAAATCACCTCACAGTCAGAACAGAATGCAATAAAGAGGTACCTCTAATAAAGCTACTAAGCCAGATTCCCCCACTTCAGTCCTTGCAACGGTGGAGCTCTAGTTGGTGCACGTTTTAGTCCTTACAATGAAGTAAATAGCAGCTGAAGGCTTCTTTGGAGTTTCAGCTGGTGTGGGTTACATCAGATTTCACTAGGTTTCTGGGCTGAGAGGGTCCAACCTCAGGGTCTAAACGCAACACAAAGCACCCCAAGACCAGTGGCAGTCGCAGGATGCAATCTTCCAGTATGTGTCAGTCCCCGGGGCAGACAGTCTCAATTACACTGGTGGTGAGGGGCAAAGCAGGCAGAGGGATCTGTGGCTTGCACAGGGCCTCGGATGGGTGAGATCCCAGCAGTGGGGTGCGGATGTCCCAGTCTATATGCAAAGTGTAAATGGTGTGTCTTACTCTCTCCAGTGGGACAGCTCACCAGACTCTGAACACACAGCAGGGTCCCTCTATCCGCGCTGGGTGCTGTAGTGCCTCCTCCTCTGCTTGGATGGGCTCCACGTGACCCTGTCTTTTCTCCAGCCTCGTGTCTCCCTGTTCTCCCCTTCACTTCCTGCTTCCTCCCCCTCCCAGCCTTCTTTGCTGTGTAGTGGATGAGTCATGAACTTGGCAGAATGCCCAGGTTTTACAAATAGGAGAGAGAGAGAGAGAAAGAACTGACTGCTCATCATGTGATTCCTTCTGAATCCTCTTGTACAAGGAGCCTGCTACACTTGCAATTTGTTTTTATAAAGGACAACATAGATTTTACAAAGACATTTCTTAAACAAGTGCAAAGTGAGTTTAGCAACTACCTGTGGGCTCAAAAATCCCACAGACAGAATCATACTATTATGGCTCAACCCAAACAGAGAGGGTAACAGAGTTCTCAGACTCACTCAAGTATCATCAATCAATATCAGAGCAATACATGTGGCCAGGTTTTTAGATTAGTGTAAACATGGCTCTGACAAACAATAGCATATTTCAAAACTGTCCCTCATTTTGAGGGATTGTTCTTCATTTCAAACAAAGTCCCTCTTTTTGGCCTAAGGGTATAAACCTTGTTAAACAATATATAATTTAACTTCCCAAACTATTATACTATGCTAAAGCTTTTCACCCATCCTCTAAATTCCTACATTTGTTGTTTTGAACAGCTGGTATGAAGGAGAATCAGTGATTAAAAAAAAAAAACTTTTGTGTTTACCCAATCATTTTCTGCATATTAATTCTTTAGAGTCTGCATAATTGGGGTCGACGCAGGTGTGTGTTTCTTGCCTCAATAACGTGCTCTTAAAAAAGTCCCTCTATCCCATCCCAGAAAGTTGGGAGGTATGCAATAGATTCAGATCATGCAGTCGATGGCCAACACACTCCTTAGATACCTGCCCTGGCTCTCACACTCTTTTTAACCATCTACCATCTAAACAGTTCCAATCTGATAGACAACATGTCCTGAGTAACCAAACTCCTTTACTTTACTTTAGGTATATAGAAAATGAAATAAAAACTGGGGAGGATGTGTAAATCACAAAGGGGGGCAATTCAGAAAAACCTGGTTTATTGGACATACTTTACGTTCATATCTGACTACTAAATTCTTATGGAAAATATATGATGCCCTTTTATGCGAGGAATCATTTGAGGACGCTTTTTGTATGCAACTGTCCATTTATTGGCAAGGCTTCCCTGGTGTCTGGTATGATTGTTTTTCTTTTCCTGCCTCTGTTTTCTTCCTTATCTATTTCATGATCTATTTATCAGATATTTCCAATTTTTAGTTCTTGTTCTTCTGGATTGAGGTCCATCTGTCAGAACTTGCCCCCACTCACTCTACTCACCTCCCCCCTGGGGCTCATAACACAGGCTACTTGCTTTGATCATACATTGGGTCATACAACATAACTTTAGATATAGACCTCCTCCAAAATTGGGTCAGATTATTACTTGTGATGAGCCAAATATCCTGGGTTCAGATTCAAGTCACAAACTCAAAAAAAGTTCAGATGCAGAATCTGAAATTCATTGACATCAATGGAAGGTGACTCTTTGAAAACATACAATTTTCAGGGCTACTAAGAAAGGGATTTTGAAATAAAGGGCATGGCAGCTGAATGGTGTCCTGGGAGACACATTCCAATGAAAAAAATGTTAAATTATCGTTAAGCAGGGAGGTTATTTTTTCAGGCAGCTTTGTGCTTGGCTGTTATGTTAGGGGAAGGGATAAGGGGTATTTTATTTAAAAAAAACAAAGCGGTTTAATATGACACAATCAAAAGTCAAAAATATTTCATACTATACACACATACGATACACTACACACTACGTAAGCATTTTTACCAATGGAAGACCTAGGTTATAGGCAAGTTTTATCATGAAAAAATAATTGTAGTGTGCTTTTTTAGAGCCACAAGCCAGAAAACCCCAACTAATGTGAGCGGGAGAGAGCAAGCAGATTTCATCTGGACTAAATAAATAACATTGTCATTTTTTTTTCTGTGAGTGAAGACCAAAAAAAAAATTTCTGCAAGCCTTTTTGATAAACTGCTATTTCAGTGGATGACAACAGGAAGATTTAATGTGTAAAAATCAATTATTGTCTATTTTATAAAACTGAAGACTGAAAAATTAAAGTGATATGAGTTACACCTTTTAAGCCTTTGTTGCTTTCTTTCTCCCTTAATTGCAGATTTTATCTGAAATTAAAAAATGTGTGTCTTTTGTCTGAGACAGAAGATGGAAAAAAAACAGATGGAATACAGATTTGCACCGCAGCTATTAGGCCTTTTGGGCCAGGCCACAATTTCAGAGTAATTGAGCAGACATATTGCTACTGGACATGAAAAATGTGTGTTTTTTGTTTCAAACCGGAAATATAAAACACATTTTGCACCACAGCTCTTAAGATTTTTTGGAGAGGCCAAAATTTCTGAGTCATTTAATTAGCATACATCATCATATTTTTTTTTTATTCAAAAGAAACCTTGTGCAGATTTGCATCTCATCTATGAAGCATTGCTGTTTATGTGGGAGAGAACAAGTAGATTGCATTTTGCAATGAAAAATTGGGGTTTTTTTTTCAGAAGTTGAGTTTTTTTCCCAAGACAGTCCTGTTTGGGCAGGCCACATTTTGTGAGCCAGAGAACAAGCTGATTGCATCTTAGAATCAAAAATAGGATTATTTTTTTCCCCAGATAGAAGAGGGAAAAAATATACAGATTTACGGCCCAACTTTTAAACCCTTGGACTAGCCAATAGTTTTGAGATATAGACAGCCAGTAGATTGCATCTGGAAATAAAAAGAAAAAAATATTTGTATATTTAATACAGAAATATGTTAGTGATTTCATGTACACCTTTTGGGCCTCTTGGATAATCTCCAATTTCTGAGGGACTAAGCGGGCAGATTGCATCTGGTCATAACATTGTTTTCTTTTTCTTTTACATTTTAGACTAACTTGACAGAATCCCCTTGTTTTTAAAACCATTTAAAGGCCTCTATTAAGCGTTTATTTCTGAGGGAGAGAGTAAGCAGATTTTATCAATAAATATGAAATTAAAATTAAATAAATTGTATTTTTACAGAGAATGAAGTTAACTACTATACTGATTTGCCACATAGGGGTTTATTTACTAAAGCTGTAGAGTGCAAAATCAGGCTCACTTCTGCACAGAAACCAATCAGCTTCCAGGTTTTATTGCCAAAGCTTAATTGAACAAGCTGAGGTTAGAAGCTGATTGGTTTTTATGCAGAAGTGAGCCTGATTTTGCACTCAGTAGCTTTAGTAAATAAACTTCTCAGAGTCTAATCCTTATTTATAGGAGGTACACATTTTGGCAGAGAGTAGGCCTATTCCAAGCTATAAATATTGCATAAAACTGTATTTTTTCAGACACAGATTGTACAAATTGTACAGATTTGCAGAACAGAACAGCATGCTTTTAACCTCCTTGGCGGTATTCCCGAGTGTAGCTTGGGGTAAAGTTTCAGTACCAAAAGCGGTAACCCCAAACTACACTCGGGCTTACCATGCGGCGTTGCTCAGGGATCCCCTGCAGCGCTTACCTTGTCCTTCGCTCCCGCGATGTGTCCCCTGCAGCATCCCCGGCCATTTCCTCCGGCCGATGCCGTCATCTGGCTTCCGTGTTGCGGTCCCTGTGAGCGTCGGGACGTACGGGGGCCGGAACGGCGGCAAATTTAAAAATTTTTAGAAACTGTCATTTTCTTAGAAATTAATTTGACATAGTAAAGCATTACTGTATCAACGCATTTCACATACATTTTGTCCCGAGTGCTTTGTCCTGTGCCCTGCCTGCATTTTGACTGTTCTTTCTGCCTGGAAACTTAGAAAAGTCTATGGCGTCCAAAAAGCGTCCCTTTTGGTCAAAAGCGGTTTTAGACCGACTAGAGAACAGAGATAGTAAATCAGAACTACTTGCAGAATTGAGTGATAATGATTTGTGGGGAAATTCGTCATCAGACACTGAAAATGATTTTGCGACTTTGCTCAGTGATGTGCGAACTTGGCGCTATATTTCAAATTTCAGTGTTTTTGGTTTGATTATAATATTGAATTGTATTATATTTTTTACTTTTATGATTATTTATTAAATTATAATTTATGATTTTGTGTTTCTAGTTTTATCCTACCTGGAATGTTTACTAGACTCTTGTTCGGACAGATTTCAGTGAGTTATTCCTAAAAATTACAGGCCTACAATAAAAAAAAATACATATTTCCATGCAAAAAAATGTACCGCTTTCAGCACAGAAATATGCACATAATCAGACCGCTAGGGAGGTTAAATAGGATTTAACTGTAGAAGCTGAGAGAAGTCATATTTCAGCCAAAGTATTCTATTAGATTATTTTTTTCATAGTAGGCAATTCAAGACCGGATAGAGCAAGCAGACTCAATTTTTAAATTTCAAAAAATATATTGGATTATCCTTATGGCAAAAGGGAAAAAATGTGTACAAATTATGAGCACAAAATTTAGGAAAATTTTATAGGCCACAAAAGTAGACAGTGAGACTAAGCAGTTTCCAATTAAGGAATCACTATTAGGTCACAGTACTGCAAATAGTGAGTATTAAAAAAACTAATTCTGGATCATGCTAGTGCGCTCAAGTAGGCACACGAGGTTGATACAGGAGACATCATGGTATTTGTAATAAAGCAAAAAAAAAAAAATGCCATCTGAAGAGCGGCATGCAAAAATATTAATACATATGTTTATGAAAGATAACATCATGCTACTTTGGGCCTTAGAGACAGAGAAAGGGGATGATGTAGGCTCTGTTAGGCACTCTACCACCTCCTAAATGTGATCTAACTTTATAGCACTCACACTGCCTGAAAAGAAAGGAACATGTGCCCAGTGTCTTGATGCTGCACCCTGAACACCGCTTTGACCTGTGGATATGGATGCTGCTCGCCCCCCATTAGCTGCATGGGAATAACCCTCAACCTTTAGGCCTCTCATGTTAATGTGAGAGTTATCCCCTACTTTTATTAACAGCTATGACAAGAGTTGTATGGTGGTGGTGTTGTGCTTTAGTGTAAAAAATCACTGTGGTCATTTAGAGGACTTAACTGCACCATAACAATATGCAGTGCTCCTTAGCAAACAGACTTTTTTAAAATTTAAAATAAAAACACAGGAATACATTTCTGGCCAATGATGTTTTTTTGCAAAGCATTTTGGAACAATTCATGCCCAAAGTCTCAAAAGTTCAGATTGAATCCGAACCATCCAAACTCAGAAAGTTTGACCTGAAACTTGGTTTGGATCAAACCCTGAGCTCATCTCTTGTCACAAATGTGTCAGCTTACTTCTTCCATGGTTTACCATTTACCTGTGGTGCATAGTGATTTTATACACTCAGACTTAAAGAGGAACTTCAGTCCCCTTTCATTTGGTTCTACCCCCACCCCCACCATGCATCTCCATTTTTGTTATTGCAGACACTGCAAGTTCCATGACAGCTCCTGTTTTTGTACAATTGTGTGGGTGACTCTGTGCATGCACATGGGTGAGCCATTGCTATTAACCACTTCAAGTCTGGACACTTTCACCCCGTTCCTGTCCAGGCCAATTTTTCAGCTTTCATTGCTATCACACTTTGATGACAATTGCGCAGTCATGCAACACTGTACCCATATGAATTTTTTAGCATTTTTTGAGACAGATAAAACTTTATTTTGGTGGTATTTATTCATCACTGGTATTTTTATTTTTTTGCTATATAAATGAAAAAGTCCAAACATTTGAAAAAAAAGTGTTTTTCTTATAAAGTTTTGCAAATAAATAATCTTTCTACATAAATCTTAGCCAAAATGTATTCAGCTATCTTTTTAGTATTTTAGTAAAAAAAATAACCAAAATTAGTTTATAACTGAAAATTGTAACTTTTCAAAAAATATTTTACATTTTTATATAATTTTTTTTATATATTTTTTATGTTTTTGTTTTTAAACATACTGTCACCATAGCAGTACAGTGTCACCATAGTGACACTGTACTACTTGTGGGGATGATTTTTTTTTTACACTAATTGCTTTTACACCTATAAAGGCTGTAAAAGCAATCATTTCTCCTTCTCTCTGGCAGCCATTGAGAAATAATGTGCAAGCTGTGAATGGTCACAGCTTGTCATATTGTACAAGGCTATTGTGAATAGCCTTGTATCATGTGACCTCTGTGATCATTCACAGATTTCACTAGTAGTAAGTAATGATGTCAGGAAGTGACATCTTGCTTACTACTAGTCCTGTGATCACTGATTGGCCAATCAGTGATCACATGACCGGGACCTCACACAGAGGTCCCGTACAACGATCGGTGTTCTGCTGTGATCGCGGTGCCACATGCTCCCATGGAGTGCGCACAGGCAGGGAATGTGGGAGGACTTTTATAAATGGCCACCTGCTCCTGCACTGCTCCCATCCAGCTGTTTATGTACATAGGCCAGGCAGGAAGTGGTTAAAGAAGCAGTGGGGTAGGGGGGCACACACATCATTCTTTCATAGGCAGGGCGAAATTAAAGCCAATTTAGGGTAAAGGTCCACTTTAACTGAAAAGAACATTTGGAACTTTATTGCGTATTCTGTATATATGTACTTTCAGTTGGCAATGGTTGAGATATTTCCTGTTCTTCTAGTTTCAAACCTATTCTGCTGTGCCTCTGTCTAACTTTCATATACTGTGCAAAATCTAAAATAAAGCATCCATTTAAAAAATAGACTAAATAGACTAAATTTGTTTCAAAACAGCTTTTATTACCTTAGTATTGATATTTTGAAAACAATTGTATGAATTATCTTGTCTATCAAGGTATCCAAGGTTTTAAATTTGACTTCATGCTCAGTACTGCAGATACACAGGTTAAAAGTAAGATTCTCCAGGTTTTAGTGACCAAAGTTTAGGCATATTTGTGTATGGAAAAGTAAATGCCATCCACTTTTGCCTCCCCTTTTACCCATACTATTAATGTTGCTATATAATATAAGCAGGCTGTGTCCATAGGCCAGATAAACTGAGACCTAAAGAATCAAACTTTCAGGAAAGAAACAGACAGGTGCTTGTTTTACTTTCTTTTCCTATGTTGAAATTATTAACAATAAGAAATAAATCTTTCATTGCACGTTGGATAGACTCTTTCAGTATTCACTTTGTCTTTCTGGCATCTTCACCTTGGAACAGTGTCCCAGCCCTGCCTGAACACAATGGGGTTGATTTACTATAGCGAAAAGGGCAATTCACTTTGCAAGGTAAATTGCACTTTGCAAGGGGACTTGCCCCAGAGCCTAGTGAAACTCAGAGCTTAGTGGGTATTTTTGCATAGTTAAACTTCACCACATTCACCATGCTGTGCGGCAACTTCCCTGGCAAAGTGAACAACCTACCCCCAAAGCGTATTAACACCCAGGAACAAAAAAGTTACATTTTGCAGCTTACCAGTCCTTAGATGTGGTGATTAGCATTTAAAACAGCTTATACAGTATGTATATATTTGAACTGTACATTTACCAGTTGGTTGGAATTAGCTTTAAACACACGTTTCATACTTCTTTCATAACGCATTCACTCCTGCCTCCCCTTTCAATTAATGACTATATTATGTTTCATTTACTCATCCTGTATTTCACTCATACTTAGTGCATTAACAAATTTTTTACTCCCAAACACTGCCATAGGGCTGGCTACTCCCCCTCCCTTATTCCCCCAACCGTATACCAGTCATCACCAGACTTCAGCAGCCCGTAGTTGCCTGGCATAGCTATTATCTTTGCTTCCAGAGAGAAGGAGGTTAATAAAATCTCCTTTTCCACTATAAAACCTTATTTAATCTCTTCTCCTCCACTTTTAATAGCTCATCAAAAATCTCTTTATTATAAGATTTTGTGTGGATTGATATAATAAAACTGTAGGTCTGTGGGCAGAGAAGATAATATCACTTATTTATTGTGAGGATCATAAATCAAAGTCAGCAGGATTCTCTTCTCTCTGACAGGCACCTTGGAGAGAGCGAAATCCTATTTGGGATTAATTTACTAGTGGCCATAATGTTTATGATTCACATGCATCCTGTGGACATAATAAGAGGCAGGATAATGATTTGAAATTGAGATTTTGTGGCATTAGAATTCAGTTTTTCTTTTTAATATATCGCAATCCCTTAAGTCTGCTCTTGACAACTTGTAAAGAAGAAGCTGATGAATCTGAAGGAATAATAAGAAAATGTAGGGGAACTGTAGAATAGTTAGAAAGGAGCTCTCATTCATTCAGTTTTTTCAAGCGCCTATAGCCAAGGCGTCATTTCACCTGATCTACCCTGGTTTGGTCACGTTAGGAAAGAATTGCATATCTATAAGAACTCTTTGACCTTGCCAGACCCTTGATAAGCATTCTAGAGGGCAAGATCCATGGACTGGATTGAATGTTTTCAGCTGATTGATATTGTTTTCATTAGAGAGGGATTGATATCAACAGTGCCTGCTGCCCATTCCATGGCTAATTTGAGGGTTCTTGTCTGTTTAAATATCGTTTGGTGGTCAAATTGTGCTTCTGCGTCTAACCTTCATGGAAGTGACAGTCCACCCAAAAGAGTTATATTTTATTTTTAGGTTGAGCTTGGTGGCTTGCACCTGCCCCTAGCTTCTTATTTGTGTTGGGTACTCCAACAATGAGGCTGTTGGGAGATGGCAATATCATTAGTGTTCACTTATTTTTCAAGCCTTCTTTAGCTAATGCATTGCCTCACTTCCTACTTTCTCATATAAATATATAGAACAACATATAAATTCATAGCTAGTAAACTGTCTTTTACCAGTTCAGTAAAATTCCAGTAAAATGAAACAGCTTCATTCTTTTGTTGGTATTGTTTGACCCTAAGATTTATTGTGAAGATGTACAGGAATTTACAGATAAACAGACATCAAAGAAGAAAACCTTAACACATTTCGCACAAAGCGCTTAATCGTAAGAATAACATACATCTAGCTGTCAGCTGATTAAATAGCCCAGAAGGAAACAATGGTGGGATAAAACTCCACCTTCTATTTACTCATGCCACTACTGACACTATCAACATAGCAGATGCTTCATTCATAAGTACCAAGAGTCAAAATAAAAATAAAATGCACATTATTTATTTATTACAGGTACTATTATAGCGTTGTCAGTTTAGGCAGTGCTTTACATATATATATATTGTACATTCAGACCAGTCCCTAACCCTCAAGGAGCATCCAATCTAAGGTCCCTAACTTACATTCATACATACACATACTAGGGCCAATTAAAGATAAATGGTGCAGCGCTAATAAAGGTGGTTAAAATTAAGATGAGCAATAAATAGGACAAGTTATTGATGTATATAAATGTCAAAAAAGTATAATTGTGCACAAGTGGAAATAGTAAAATTGATTTAAGAAACTACGTGAAATAATAATATCCGTGAAAAAGATAGAAAGTCCCACGGCTTCAAAATGGTCCTTGTGCCTTGTGTTAATATAAGAAATGCGCACTCACCGGACGTGCACTATTAATGTGCATTGTATGTAATATCCAGGTGCCAACAGGTAGTCATCCGAGCCGCAAGATGGAACACGCTCCCTCTCAGGATTGTTAGGGTCCAGGGACTGTAATGCTGGTAATCCAGGGATATCCAGAGCTCCAGCGGCCATTTCTCTATAGGGATGGTTAGTCCTTTTTGCTCAAATTTTAAAGTCACATTTCCCTGGATGCATCCTTTGTTTTTTACCAATAAATAGATAACTAATCCTACTACGCTATGGGCATTCTTTTGTTCTAACCCCATGCGGGGAGTATTATTTTCATAGACGCCCAGTGCCCTGAGTATCCAGAGAGGGAGCCTCCTGCCTTATTCTGTGAGAGCTGCACCCATCCATCCCTAAAGGGGAACTCTGGATATCCCTGGATTACCAGCATTAAAGTCCCTGGACCCTAACAATCCTGAGAGGGAGCGTGTTCCATCTTGCGGCTCGGATGACTACCTGTTAGCACCTGGATATTACATACAATGCACATTAATTGTGCACATCCGGTGAGTGCGCATTTCTTATATTAACACAAGGCACAAGCACCGTTTTGATGCCATGGGACTTTTCTATCTTTTTTTACGGATATTATTGCACGTAGTTTCTTAAATCACTTTTACTATTTCCACTTGTGCGCATTTATACTTTTTGACATTTATATACATCAATTACTTGTCCTTTTTTTTGCTCATCTTAAATTTAACCACCTTTATTAGCGCAGCACCATTTATCTTTGATTTGTATAAGGATTTCTGTTGGTTGCCTTGAGCGTACAGCTGCTTATTGGAAAAGCGCTCACTTTTTATCTACCTATAACATACTAGGGCCAATTTAGACAGCCAATTAACCTACCAGCATGTCTTTGGAGTGTGGGAGGAAACTGGAGTACCCGGAGGAAACCCAAGCAGGCACGGGGAGAACATGCAAACTCTAAACAGGTGGTGCTGTGGTTAGGATTCAAACTGACAACCCTAGTACTGCCAGGCAGAAGTGCTAACCATTTAGCCAAACCCAAATTACCGCATTTTTCACTCCATAAGATGCACTTTTCCCCCCCCCAAAAAAGGGGGGAAAATGTCAGTGCGTCTTATGAAGCAAATATAAAGCAGCCGGTCCGGTATTTCCACCGCCACTGTGTCAGAATACCGGGCCACTCAGCTGTTCTCTGATGCAGGACCTTACCTGTTCCTCGGTCCAGCACTGCGCAGTCTTTCCACGCCGGCATCTGTAACAGCCGGGTGCCCACTGCGCATGCGCGAGAAGCGCTGCTCTTTGTGAATGGTCCGGCGTCTTCTGGGACACATGACAGGTCCCAGAAAATGCTGGGCCATTCACAAAGTGCAGTGCTTCTCGCGCATGCGCAGTGGGCACCCGGCTCTCACAGCCGGGTGCCCACAGTAAAGGGAGGACAACTCCGCGGAAGTGGGAGCGGGTACCTGTCAAATTCAGGTACCCACTCCCCCTCCCTCCCTAAAGGTCCACAGTCTCTGGTCATCCCCTGTACTGTCCGCAGTTTCTGGTCATCCCCTGTACTGTTCGCAGTCTCTGGTCATCCCCTATACTGTCTGCCGTCTCTGGTCATCCCCTATACTGTCTGCCGTCTCTGGTCATCCCCTATACTGTCTGCAGTCTCTGGTCATTCCCTGTACTATGTCCGCAGTCTCTGGTCATCTGTGTACTGTGGCCAGCGACACAGACAGTCGCATAGGACCCTATTTGCAAGTGTGAATGGGGTCTAAAGAGTGGGGTATGTGAAGTCTGCCCTTGTAAAAGCAAATTCTTTTACCAGTTGTCAGAG